AACACATGTTATATGTATATATATATATATATATATGTGAGTGTGTGTGTGTTTAACCGCAAATACAACTCATTTCTCATTTCCCAAACCAAAAACACCTCAAATTTGCTCTTAAAACTCATACATGATCTTCATATTTTTAAAAGATTTTGCCTAGATCACCATCCAATCTTCAAATCTTCAACTGAAATCCCTCAAGAAGATTCATCCGATATTCAAATCTTCATAAATTCCTACAAATCTTTAAGTTTTCCCCAAGAACACCAAGAATATCTTCAAATGTTCATATTTCATCCAAAAACACCAAGAACACATTCAAATAATTCCTAAGACTTTTGTAAGTATTTCTTACATGATTTAATGTTGTCTAACACTTTAAATTATTATTTAAATTAATATCTTATTAATTTAAATACGATATCATGTATAAATATTATTAGGATACGACTACTCACACGGGTTCTAACTCGAGGATCATCGCTACCACTTCGTATCCAAATGAGAACGCACATTCGAGGTTAGTTCATACCCCTATGCTTTCACTAATTTTCAATGTTTTTAAGGGGGATACAAGTGAAACACAAGGAATCTTCTGTTAACATTCAAACAATTTCAAACCGTTTCAATCTATTTTTAAACTGTTTCAAGCTAATCAAAACTATTTCACCTGTCGTTTTTACCAATATATATATATATATATATATATATATATATATATGTAACGCCTGTGTTTCCAGGCTTGCCATTTTTAGCAATGTAATATTCTAGGTTAACCTTTGTAACCCGTTTTGAAATAATAAGATTGTATTATTTGAGTATTATGTGTTTTGTGCTTAATTGCTTAATTATGTGGTTTGATTAATTAAGAATAAAAATAAGCGTCAAAATTTAAGTGTAAAATAAACTTGATATCTTTAGATAATGTTGTAGTAGTTGAAACAAGGTTTCCGGAGATATAAAGAATACCGAAATCCGAGTTATAACGAGGAAGTTATGACCTGTCGAAGTTTCGCGACAGAACCGGCAACGCTGAATAACGTAAAAAGTGAAATTTACGTTAAAGCGATATTTAGCCTTAGTGATCTAAATGAGAATCGAAGATCTCGTTTTTAGTATCAAAGCGAAAAAAAGTTAGGCGAGAACGGACGTCAAACGAAGAAGTTATGAATTTATAACGAAAATTTCTGTCCCGGCTTATTAAAAATAAATAATAAAAATAAAGTCAAATTAGCCGATGAAGTCTAAACGAAAGTTGTAGAGCGTAGTCTCACCTTTCCGTGGATATAAAGAACGTCGAAAACGGAGTTCTTATGAAGAAGATATGAATTTCCGAAGTTTGATAAATAATTTGTATTTATTTTTAAATCAAAATTCGGAAGCCTTATCCGAAGACAAGTCATCGATCCGATCCGACTTACGCATCGCGTAAGTGAGTATGCCCCGCGTACTCTGAAAGTGTCGACATCGCAGCAAGTGGCTTCGGATACGTAAGCGATGACGTTTCTGAGGCACGTACGCCCCGCGTACGAGAGGCTTCCAGCCTCCTATAAATAGGATGCGAGGGTTCCGGGTTTATTTGCTAATTTCCTCTCGTTTTTGTGCCGAAGCTCTGCGTTTTTACCCCCGAAGCCCAGGTAATATTCCCGAGTCCCGAAGCGAGTCCCGAGATCCCGAAGATCCCGAGAAGTGCGGTTTCCGAGCCGAAGCTCTGCCCGCGAGAAGTTCGATTTTTGTAGAGATCTTCCAGATCTGCGGAGGATTACTACTTCTGCAAGCCGTAGTGCTGTCTGATCATCTTCTGATCAAGTGAGTGTATACTACCTTTCATAAACGCAATAATAATACAAGTATGGTTCGAGGGTATTAAGTTTATTGTCGTTTATACGCGTGAATGCGTTATTACTTTCTTCTAACGTATAATTATGAAGTATTTTATACGAGATACGTGTTATGTGTATATTTTGTTGTTATGTGTGTGAATGTATATTCACTTTCTTCTATCTTACAGATATGATTATTTCTATATGAAATACGTGTTATGTGTGTGTGCCTCATCTGTTATATGGAAAATGTATTGATCAAGCATGCTATACAGGTTTTGAAAATATGTATAAAAATGTATGTTTTTATCTACTAATATGTTGGGTAGAACATGGGTAGATAGTTGGTGTGTAATAAACAGATGAGAGGCCTCGTTGTTGTTTTGATCCAGTCATCTAGCGGAATTTAGATGACGACCACAGACTTTTCTAGATAGTCCAGTGGAACGCTAGCAGGCTCATAACCTGTAGGTGTTAATGAACTTGGGTGTTCATTCGCTGTATTCCATCCCCCTCATGGTTGCCTTATTTGACTTATATTGCTGAGGAAACCCCACAGCATGTGTTGTCACCCCGATGAAAATATTCTTAGATTAGGTCCCTTGTGTTAGTTATTTTAGGGACGTAAAGTGAGAATAACGGGAATGGGTAACTGGGTTATTGTTGGTTGATAATAATTAATTTAATTATTTATTGTGGGTTGAAAACCCTATATGCTCACCAGGCTCCTAAGCCTGACCCACTCAGTTTTATTTGTATTACAGGAAGTGGCGCAAGGGCGTAAGATGGATGAACCATCAAGTTGTTTTGTTTACAAGTCTACATATGTTTATATTTGTTATATGACTTGTAATGTATTCGTTTATGCTTATTAGGTTGTATCGGAACATGACACCCCGAGTTTTGATTATAATGAAAATACATTTCTTTTATGAAATGCTTTGGTAAACATTGTTTTATCATGTTTTGTTTTTGGGAACAAATTCCGCAACTCTTTCAAATCAAAAGGATTTACTCTGAATTTATTTTAAAAGCATAAATGAAAATCGGTCTTTTCTGGCCGAGATTTTGGGGATGTCACAGTATATGTACATATGATTCAACAGGATTAGGACTGGTGTTTTTGTCTTAACTCTTGTTTCTTGTTTGGTTGTGGGCTTAGGGTGGAATCACTTGTCCGACTGCCTTTTCAATCTCAATTATATATGTCGTGTATATATATATATATATATATATATATATATATATATATATATATATATATATATATATATATATGATTATAAAACTTATTTAAATAAAACTTTAACCTCTTTGTAACATGTCGAGCAAATGGGTACTTTTCATAAATATTTCAGTACACACATATCATACCTATAAATTATAATAGGTATAGTTTATGAAGCATACATACTACTCTACTAGTTCAAGGAAAAGTACAAGAACATGCATGATAAATTATAATAGGTATATTTTATGGAACACATACACTATTTTACTAAGTTTCAAAGGTACAATACATAAATAATTATTTAAGTATGATTATTTTACACTACAAGTACAGTACAAAAGGGAATATATACATTTAAAAGAACAAGAGAACATTTACACACTATACGTAAACAAGTTAATACAAGAGTGTTAGCCACATACGCCAAACTTACATCCAACGTACGTCTTCGGGTAGCCCAACTTATCAGCCCACTTTTCTAAAGTCCAACTCAATAATCCACTTTATCCAATTCATAGTCCAGCAAAATAATAAGCATTTTAAAATAAATAATACCTTAAGTGACGGATGTTACAACACTGCAATATTTCAGTTGATTGGTTCTCAGTTTCTTCGGCCCTTGGTTTTTTCTCGATTTGGGATTTCCACGTAAATTTCTATGTCTCTCTTATTTACTGCTTTGCTTAGTATTTTTCATTGCACGTGGTTGATTATTGTTTAAGTTATTAGTCATATTCCGCTTGAACTAATATTTTTCTTATGATTTAGATTTATGGGTTGTTTGATGTATTAGGGATTTTCGTTTTAATGCATCATTCACTTGTTTGTTTACTACATGCAACTTTATAGACAAAAATAAACAAGGAAAAAACCTTTAAGCTTATCAAGCTAGCTATACAAATATTTACTTATAATATAAAAATTCTATTTTACAGTTATTTAAGAATCAATCGGGATTTTGTTTGACCTTCCAATTCGACAATATTTATCTAATACACAATTTATAAATTTATTGTTGTAAAAGATGTGAGTCAAATTTACAAAACACTCATAAATATTAGACAAAATTGCAAAAATAGTCCCTGTGGTATGCATTTTTTTGGGGTTTCACTCCAAACCTCGACTTTTTTGGATTCATGGTCCTTTTAGCCTAGTTTGTTCGTAAAACTGGTCCCCCGACTTAACTTTCGTTAAGTTGTTATTGTTAACTCACTCATGTGCCTCCCACATGAGGGTATATTTGTCTTTTCACTTATAAGGGACCATTTTTGCACAAAAAATATACCTATTTATTTGTTTTAATAATTAAAAAATAAAAGAGGTCTCTCTCTCTCTCTCTCTCTCTCTCTCTCTCTCTCTCTCTCTCTCTCTCTCTCTCTCTCTCTCTCTCTCTCCAGCGACCACCACCGTGTTTCTCACGAAATCACAAATTCACATAATAACAAAAAGGGGTTTAAGGCAAATATGGATCGTAACAACTAAAAACTCTCATTGACATTTTAACAAACACTTTGTTGGCATATTTCACTGAGCTAAAAATTAATAATCATAATCACTTTTCCTGTGTGCCTTTCTTCTTATCTGTACAAATTCAAATCGCAACCCCTTCTTCCTTATCTTCTTTAATTACATATTGAAAAGGAATACGCTGATGTTCTGATGATGGACAACAAGACAATGTAAGAGAAGAGAGAATGATTTCAATAGAGATGGTGGTCTTAACTCTCCACAAAGAAGAGATGTATGCCCTGGTTCTTGATTTAAAAATGTTTGTGAGATAGATACAACCATACATGCGGTCGGTGGTCAAATTAAGAGGTGGAGGAGAAGATAGACTGAATGGTCTATTAGTTTCGGTGAATCGACCTTAAATCTTGACACATATATATCGAAATAAGAGTGGTGGTCATCGTTACCTGCTGTATTATCAAAGTGGTGGTTGATGGGTGTCAAGAGGTGGTGTGAGGAAGTGCTACACATATGGGGATTGTAGCAGCAATAGCAGAGCTGCGGTGGTGGCTTTGTTGCCTCGCCTTTCTTTTCGTCTGACGGTGATTAGCGAAAGGAGACATCAAGTGGTGGTGATCGGAGTCCTCATGATGGCAGCGGGTGGCGGCGGCGTGCAATGACAGTTCCACTTCCTTGCTCATTTGTCGTTTTCCGACGTGAACTCAAAAGGAAGGGCAGTGAACGATGATAGGTAGTTGGAGGGAGCTGGTTTGATGGAGCCACGCAAGCAGTAACAACAGCACATGTGAGGGTGTTTGGCTAGCTCCAAACGAAGAGTGAGGAACATGGTGGTGGTGGCTGCTGATATAAGAACGAGAGAGAGAGCTTTTTAATTTTTTAATTATTAAAATAAATAAATAGGTATTATTTTTTTTTTAAAAGGGATATATTTTTTGTGCAAAAATGATCCTTATGAGTGAAAAGACAAATATACCCTCATGTGGAAGACACATGAGGGAGTTAACAGCAACAACTTAACGGAAGTTAAGTCGGGGGACCAATTTTACGAACAAACTAGGCCAAAAGGATCATGAATTCAAAAAGTCGAGGTTTGGACTAAAACCTCAAAAAAAATACATACCACAGGGACTATTTTTGCAATTTTTTCTAAATATTAGGGGTATTTTTAAAATCTATTAAAGCTAGAAAAAAAAGTTTGTCTAAAATATTCTTTTATGGTGTTAAAAATGGTATAATAATTTAAAAATGAACAACCGTTTGTACTAAATATTATATATTTTCTATCATATTATATATACAATTAATTCATATTACCTTTTTTAATAATATAGTAGGTGTGAGATCCGTGTATTACACGAGTTTTATTAAAAAATTAATATAAATTATTAAGAATTACATGTTTTTTTGTAATAATTTTACATAAATACAAAATTCTATAATAAATAAAGTAACTCTTTTAATATATTTACCCTACTAAAATGGTAAATATTTGTAAAATGATGACAACAATAATGATGTAAACATTAAACATGAATTAATTAAAACTTGCTACATATAAAAAAACAAAACGATGTATAACTAAGTTAATGTATAATAATAAAAACAACTATTAAAATATCGTGACTTATTTTTATGAAGTACAAATTTCCAAAGACTTCCTTAAGTACAACATTAGATGCCGTATTGATAAGTTTAACATCTTTATCTAAAATTAATATCTTTAATCCAACTTACTTTTAACTCTCGACAGTGCAACATACAGTTGTATATGAGTGAATACTGGTTGTCTCAAAAACAATCCCACCCTCGATAGTGACTGTCCTTGACTTTTATTTATTGTCATTGCAAAACATACAACCAGTGGAAATTGTCGTCTTTGAAATATGAAAGGAATCCTTTTATCTGAAGGCGTCAAAGACATTCTTGGAATAAACGTACGGTTTTCGGTATTACTTCCAGATATTATTTCAGTTTTATAACACGTTTACCCAATGCAATAACCCGTAACCTCGTGCCATTGCACAATCCGCATTAACTTTGAAATGTGTAACAAAAATATACTCCTTTTTATTTCAATTTAATATATATTCCAAGTTAGTGTGGATTAGTTTGTTTTGGTGACATGCAGGGGAGAAAAGGAATTAGTTTGCTGTTTTGAAGTTTTTGTGTTATAACAATATGGTTTTTTTAAATAATATCAAACCTGACATGTTTATTTAGGTGTGTTCAGGTATAACCAAAAAATGTTTATTAGGGTTGATTAAGTAATTCATTTGCATGTTCTGGTATCGTTATTAAATTTATAAGTTTGATTACTAAATGAAAATGGCATATATTTAGAAATCGAATTATTAATAAAAAAAAACCATACATACATAGACATGCACCATATTTATCATACACACAGTAACAATTTAAAAGTAAATAAACAACAACAATTAATAATGAAAACATAATCCATATTTAACATAAAACGAAAGTAAACAGAATCTCTAAAACCAACAAAGAAAGTATTTTTAACAAACCATAAAACCTCAAAATTGTTGTTGGACTGGAATGTTAAATAAAAAACGAAAAATGGAAAATTGTTTGAAATGTTAATAAGATGTCACTTCTCGACTTTAGGAATCAATAGTTGTGTGGACACAACACTTTCCTTGACACCAATGGATTTTTTTGAAGGTTTTGTTGATGACTCACAAATAGTATCTTCAAGATCGTAAACATCAACAAGTTTACGTTTCGCATTGGTAGGTGGTGAAAGGAGGCTAGTGGTGTCATGGTTGGTTGATGGACTCATTGAAATAGTATTTGGAAAAAGTAGAGATAGAAATATTATCAGCAACAAAGGAAGCAGAACCATTAAATGCAAGAATTATTATATGTTAAATATTGAGATAGGAGTAATGTGATACAGCGAAAAGAAAAAAAAGCAGGAAATTATACCTTAAAACCAATTGTATCCTGAGAGTTGAAATCTCATACCACGACATTAACAAACTCAATTTCAGTGTCCTATATAACAATTTGTAAATTGTATTTTAGATTGGTAAATATAAACTATATAAAACGTAATATGTAAATGGATTAAGATTTAGTTGTAGTTAAACCTGTTCAATGTGGTTTGCTTTTTGAAGCTTCTCGAGCGCATAAATTACGTCAACGTTATCACTTATCTTTGATATGTTGTAACTACGGATGTATTTTCTTCCAGAGGTAAAGCCTTTAACTATAATTTTGAAAGCCATTTTTCTACCAATAAGTTCATTAATCTCAATAGGAAAACCAACACTCTTACCCAGCTACAAAAAAAAATGTAAATTAAACAAAAGTTAGAATGAAAACGTAGAAATCATTAGAATAAATTATGGATTTTATATTATGGATTTCACAATATATACCTTTTCATACTTTTCTATCAAATCTGATGCAGAAATGTTTAGAATACTTCTAACATCATGGTCAAATAGAGTAAGTGTCACTACTCCCACCAAGCCTTGTACTCGAATTTTGAGCATAAAACTAAGATATTCAACAAATAAATAAAAGAATACAATTTATATAAATACAACAATGAAAGAATATTAAATTTCTTATGATACCTTGGTTCAACAACTGACTTGTCATTTGCACTTCTCATGTGTACATACCAGCCACATGGTACAAAACATTGGATTGTTCAAGGGGCATTTTCTGAACCTTTATCTTACAATCATTGCAAGCCGAGTAGTACCATTGTTGAGTATCTTCAAACATCTTAATTGTGCCAAGAATGATGGCATAACTCCCTTATAGTAATAAGAAACGATGGTGAATTAGGAAAATTAAGTATTATTAATTTAAGATTTAATAATATAAACATACCTCATCTAACTCATGGATCATGGAAATTTGGTAGAACGGATTATTTTTAAGAAAGTCATCATGTACAGTATACATGATGGAAGACTTTGTAGCACGACAACATGAAGAAGCCGATCCACTTTCTTTTTCATTCAAAATGTTTACAAATAAAGTGTAAGTATAATATAAATAAAAGATATATTTAGTTTAATAGTAATATAATAAAGGACTTGATTGTAATATAATCAAACCTTTTTTTGAAATCAATAATTTCTTCAACTTTCTTATCAATGAATAACTTTGTTGCTAAATATGTGTTATTCACATATGCACGCCCTAAAAAGAAAATGGAAAAAATGTTCATATAAATTATTTCTTATATAAATATTGAAAATGTTAAAGATAAAACATTGTATTAATAAAAGGACCTCGGTGATTCTTTAACTTAGCACATTGAATTATCATTACAAAATTCCCCCGATGTTTGGATACATAGGAATTAATTTGTTCAGCGTAATCTCCCTACAAAGTAGCAAACACTTGTCATCCCTTAAATGTATATGAATTGAAACAATAATTCTAAAACTAATAATACACAAGTCATGAAAGAAACATACTCTAAATCTTCCAATTTCAATGTAATCCTTTTATCCAGTTTTTGGGTTATAGGTTCAGTGGATAGCATTGAAAAACATTACCAATGACATTTATAATATACACGATGAAACATGTTAGTATATAATTAGTGTTAGGATGGACAAATTACATACAAATATTATAAGATGTAAAATGTGAAATCAACGTTATGAACTTACCCAAAAGAAATAGTTGAAGGGATAACCTTATCGATAAGATGTTGGAAGTTTGCGAAAGCGAAATAATTCTTGGGCCCATTAAAACCAATTCACTTGGTTACTCTAGTGATATATTGGAAAAACAATTTGTTTTGAGTGTCAACAAACTTCATAAAACCATCAACATATAAACCAAGTGTTTATGAATGTAAACATCAACATATTCTTCAAGTGCTTTCCCCAATATCATATATGATTTGTCGACAGTGCATTCAATTTTATTGCCCTTCAAAAAACGATTAAATAAATAAATAGTAAACAACTATATTATTAACATGGATAGTGTATAACTAATTATATGATATTATGAAATCATTAAATAGTTTTTTAGCAATTCATTTTAAATGCCTCTTCATCCATTAAAATCATTCTGATTGTCGTGTTTCATGTGGTTTCTTCCAAGTTGTTTGTTTCCAAAGTCTAATTATTCGGACCTTAACTGTGTAGTTGTCATTTAAGAGACCTAGATCATTAATCATTGTGATTTCGGTTGGATACATGAGTTGTAAAAGAAATATAAAAACTATGATTATTACATTGACAAAATTGAGAATGATAAGCAAATAATTCATTGGAGTAAAAAAAATTAATATTCATATTGATATAATTTGCATACGATTCAACACAAGAGATTAGAAGATTAATAAGACAAAGATACGGAAAGTTTCATTGAAATTGACAAAAATATCCTTCTGCAAAAATTATTGTGTTTCATTTTTGTTACTACAAACATTTATAATTTGCATATTTTTAATGAACTTTATTCTATTGCAAATATGTAGTCGATATAAATCATTATAATGTTCAAAAGCATAAAGATTACTACAAACCATGTTAAAAACACAATGATAATAGACAATTACATTCCTTTTATTGATTCCATTCAATCACAACAAACAAATATAACAACTTTCAAAGAAATAGGAAAACACATATAAACAACAGAGTTGAACATAAACACATCTTATAGTCTTTTTTTTCAGTATATTATTGTAAATGGTTTCAAGTTTGAAAGTAAATTGCTACAATAAAAACTTTCATCAACAGATCCCACAACATGTAATCAAAACATACGAAAAAAGTTCTTAAAAATATGTTAAATTTGATTTTTCTATAAAAAGACCAAGAAGCCCTTTATCCAAAATAAAAACAAAAAATAACATTTTGTTTTCTTTTTAACCAACCATTTGCAAATGTCACATTTAATTGATTTTTTTAATGAAATCGGGGAAAATAGTTCTTAAAAAAATGTTATTGGCATGAAAGTCAGATTTCATAATAACCTTTTGTTGTATATTGTTCCCGAAAATATGTTGTTGAGAAAATATGTCGTTGGAATGAAATTTAGAATGAAATTGTGAGCAAGGGCAAAACGGTCACATTTGATGCAAAAAAAAAATTTGGGAAGAAATAGTCACACAACAAAACATAGTAGTTTCATTTGTAAAATATGTTAAAAATCATATTTTTGTAAAGTAGAATGCTATTTTCTGTGTATGTTATAAAGTTTTATTGTTAAATTTCCTTTTTCTATAAAAGGACCAAAATGCCCTTTCTCCATAATATGATCCTGTCTACTATTCCGGAAAACATGTTCTTAATAAAATACTACCACTTATCCAAAATTAAGATTTTTTGCATATTTTCTTAAAAACTATTTTATGTTGTGAGAACAAAAGGTTGGGATAGTAGACAGTAAATTAATAAACTTTTAAGATTTTCTTCTAACTTGGCCAATAAATATTAACAAATATAACAACTTTCAAAGAAATAGGAAAACACATATAAACAGCAGAGTTGAACATAAACACACGTTACAGTCATTTTTTTTTTCAGTATATTGTTGTAAATGGTTCCAAGTTTGAAAGTCAGTTGCTACAATAAAAACTTTCATCAACAGATCCTACAACTGTAATAAAACATACGAAAATAGTTCTTAAAATTATGTTAAATTTGATTTTTCTATAAAAAGACCAAAATGCCCCTTATCCAAAATAAAAACATAAAATAACCTTTTGTTTTCTTTTTAACCAACCATTTGCAAATTTCACAGTTAATAGTTTTTAATGAAATTGGGGCAAAATAGTTCTTACAAAAATGTCATTGGAATGAAAGTCAGATTTCTTAATAACTTTTTCTTGTATATTGTTCCCGAAAACATGTTCTTGAGAAAATATGTGGTTGGAAGGAAATTCTGAGCAAGGGCAAAGTGGTCACATTTGTTGGAATAAATTTTTTGGGAACACATAGTCACACAGCAAAACATAGTACTTTCCTTTGTAAAAAAATGTTAAAAATACTGCCACTGGAATAAAATTAAGATTTTTTGCATATTTTCTTAAAAACTATTTTATGTTGTGTGAACAAAACATTAGGATAGTAGACAGTAAATTAACAAACTTTTAAAATTTTCTTTTGATTTGGCCAATAAAAAATCAACAAATATCAGCAACATATATTCAAATTTCTAGTGAAGATGTAAAAAAAGAAAGAAAGACGAAAAGACTTTTGTAGTCAGATTGAAACCAATATTTCAGAATCTAAAGTTAATTGTTCTAAACTGATAATGACATGATTTGCACAATAATTTATCTTTAACTCAAAAGACTTTACTAAGCTGATGTAGAAAAGCCCGTATTACATTGTGATGATGCATAGATTTGGAAGAGATGCTGTGAACTTGATTTTTGAAGAAACGGTGATAAAAAAACGAAATGGAATGTAGTGATACATAAATTATAAAAATTATTTTGGGGAGGAGATCAAACTTTAATTTGAAAATATACAATATTCGAAATATTATTATGAATGAAAGGGATTGCCTTGAATTTCAAAGGTATTGCCGAAATTTATGTTTGTAATACGGGAAGGTTTATTTTTTGAATGTAATCATTGATTGATTTCTTACTGGACACTTTAATGATACATTAAACTTTCTTTAAATATCATAAAAATGTAATAAATGTGCAGTAAAATATGTATATAATGGTAGAATAATGAAAAAGCAAAGAACCACAAATTGGCAAGTGGAATTTAGAAAAATTCAAAAAATAGAGAAAATGTCATGTGACAATTGAATGAGGTAGTGACATTTGACAAAAGTGTTTTCATTTATTAGGTAGGATTTTTGTATTGTTTGAAGTTTTGCCACAAAAGTTTTAATATTTTGTTACTTTTGGTCCCTCATCAAGTTTTTACAATATTAGTTTGTGGAGTTGATACTTTTGGTCCTCTAGCTTTAATATTCTTTACTGTTAGCCACAAAGGTTTCAAGAATTTATCATTTGTGGTCCCTAACATTTATCAAACGTGACATCTTAAGTTTTGGCCACATTAATCTGTGGATTTGATGTTTTTGGTCCTCCTATCTTCGGTATTCTACTATACGACCATACTTTCATCAAAACATTATACACACACAAAATAGAAACAACAAACAAGAAAAAAAAACAAAGAAAGACTGAAATATGTAAATATGAAAAAGAAAAAAAAATCGAAACGCCACGAAGCGCAACTCACCTTCTAGTTAGTACAAAATTTGTGTAATGGGCTGAAAATGGTCTTAGTGTAAGATTGTTTGTCCTATAAAAATACATATCACTATATCAGTTACTAAAATCGGGAAGGAGATATTTTAGGTCATTTATACATCTTTTAACTAAGATCAGGGACTGTCTCTGTAACTAGACTCAAAGGAAGGTCGAGAATATGAAGGCGGGCAAAATCCAATTCAAAATATGATAGAAGCAAAAGGACAAAGACGAATCTCTGACTCTCTTTTTGTTGCTCCGATTTGAACTTCGGAAACCTGGTTCTTGCTTTTCCAACACTCTGATTGGTCGAGTTTCTTGTACGATTAAAGGTAAACTTTGGTTGATACTTGCTGATTTTGTAAGTGCAAGTTTATTAGGTATCTGATTTCTGGCTAGGGGTTTTCATTTGA